GGGTTTTTATCCGTCACGTTTCGCCGGGCACATGCAAACACCGTGCCAAATAAAGGCAAAAATCCCACCGCCGAGGGATTTTTGGGGCTGGGTAAGCGACCTCGGACGATGTATTTTTGTTAATTCACTGTTTCTTGGCACGGTTTACGGAGGAAATCCTGGGAAATCGTCGCCCTGGACCCAAACTCAAGCCAGTTGTTTTCGATGACGATGCTTTAAAAATATCTCCGGCGGGGAGGAGGCGTGAGAGATCATCCCGCGGGAAGCCGGCAGACCCAAACCTTCCGCGGATTTAGGAGGGAAGGGGGATGGAAAATTGCTGTTTGCGTAGCCGGGACATTTGATATCTTATTTTTTTTATTCCTCCTGCCAAGTCTCTCGCTCCTTATCTCCCCCTTCGGAGCAAGGCGGCATTCCTGGAATAGCTGAGTCTGGTTGAGCAATGGTTTTTCTTGGCCGTTGGGTCCTTCTCCACCGTGAAGACGCCGGTGGAAGGAGAGGGGGGTTCTTCGCCTTCATTTTCCTCTCCTTTTTGCTACAGTTTTCCTTCTCCTTTTTGCGACGGCATGGCGGTGAAAACCCCGAGCCTCCGGGCAAGAGGTCCCCGGGGAAATCCAGCTCGATCGATGCCTAAAAGCGTCTCCTTTGCCGTCGTCGGTACTGAATTGGTGCCGTTGAGTTTTTACGGGGGCGAGGGGGTAGAGCGGCACCGCTGGGGTACTAACGTTTGCTCTGTTCCCCTTTCCTTTTTTGGCAGAAATGGCACCGAAATTGAAGAAAAAAGGGCATTCGGGGCGAGAGCAAAAAAAGGTAGGAGACGGAGCGTCCTTCCCAGCCCGCTTGAGTTGGGATTGAATCCCTGGGGAGGTTTGGGAGCGCCGGCAACGCGGGCAGGACCGTCGCCGGCACGCTTGCCTGGGTTGATGCACCAAGCCCCTTGGCTCGGCCAAAGAGGCTTTCGGTTTGCTGGGAAGCTCTCCCGAGCCAGCCCCGGTTTGAGGGGTGTCGTTGGAAGGACACCGGGAAGGCCTTTCGGTGACTGGGGAGGCGTTTTGGTGACCGGGAGGGCGTTTCGGTGACCGGACGGATGTTTTGCTGACCAGGAAGCCGTTTCGGTGACCATGAGGGCGTTTCGGTGACTGGGAGGGTGTTTCGGTGACCAAGAAGGTGTTTTGGTGACCAAGAAGGTGTTTCGGTGGAATGGGAGGGCATTTTGGTGACCAAGAAGGCGTTTTGGTGACCGAAAAGGTGTTTCGGTGGAATGGGAGGGCATTTTGGTGACCAAGAAGGCGTTTTGGTGACCGAAAAGGTGTTTTGGTGGAATGGGAGAAGGTGTTTTGGTGACCGAAAAGGTGTTTTGGTGGAATGGGAGGGCATTTTGGTGACCAGGAAGGCATTTTGGTGACCGAAAATGTGTTTCGGTGACCGGGAGGGCATTTTATAGACTCATAGAATAGTGGGAATTTTGGTGAAGAGGGCGTTTCGGTGACCGAGAAGGTGTTTTGGTAACTCACCGGTGGTTTTTTTTCCCTCCCTTAGCATCACCATCACCACCATCAACCGGTGCAGCAGCAACCGCCGCCGCCGCAGCCCCCG